TCTTGGTGCACTGCTATCGTGCTTTGCTCCTTCAGCCTAAGTAGAAAGATATTGGTACCTCATTGACTTTTGTGGCAGACGCGTTCATCTTATACCTGCAATAATGACGATTTCACTAATTGTCAGCTCTGCAAACGATGCTGAGACTGACAAGCAGACTCACACATCATCTGTAATGAAGAGTCTTCAGGCCAAATTATTCCTTAAGTGGTGTCTTTAGCCCCAGTGCTTTCAAATTATGCTTTCAGTTATTAAAATTATGTTTCTGTCATAAATACAACCTCACTGCCTTCAGCTGGTCTGCACAGATGTGGCTAATTTAAATTTAATAAACAGTGGGATTGGTGGTATATGAGATGGAGTAGAATTCAGCTTGTTCCCTCCAAACTTGCCTTACTGTAAGTTCAAAAGTTAGAAGATTTGACCAGATGACAAAGCTGTGCAGTAAAAAGGCCTATCTGCATAAACCTTTGAGGGGGGGCAGTTCTCAGTCTTTGATGGCTATTTGCAAATTGGTATCCTGAAGTATCAGATGTGAAAGAAGAGATTAGAGAATTTTCTTGTGACTTCTTAAACAGAAGTTGGGTTTTTTATTGAATCAAAACTGGAATGAACAGTGGATTTCTCCTACAAACCTCCTCAAATGCTGACATTTTAAGCTAACTGTTTTTATATCCATTTTATCCGTTTTCCCATGTCCTGCAAAGCAGCATGCATAAGATAAGTAGATATGTTATTTTCCTTCTCTTTTCATTCTTATACACAATTAGATTAAATATTCCTCACTGCAGAATTTTTCTTCGCTAACAGAAAACTTGCATGTGTAGCAGTATAGAAAATATAAAGACTTTGATTTAAAGGACTATGAATTTAACAATTTAGCTTCAAGCATCCATTTTTTCAGCTGAGCTCCAAATTCTAATTTCATTAATTTTTTGAAAGTGCGTACTATATGCTTTTCAAAAATTGTACATCTCCCATTTTTAATTCATATAACTGTATTTTATACAAGTCTGCACTTTGCAGTGCATTCAATTGAATGCTATTTTTTTATAAGAGGAAAGAAAATTACGTTAGGATATATTGTTTGTCTCCTAGCCTTTTTCCATTTGATTGGCATTTGCTATCAATCTCTTGCCGCTACTCTTTTTCCTTATTGTATTTCTTTGCCATATGTGAGTACTCTATCAGTGAGCTCTCTGCACACACAGTGAGCAACAAATAGCAGCATATCTAATCCCCTGTCTGATTACTCTGTACATAAACTCTAACATTTCCCACTATAGTGTAATTGGATAGATTGATCCATCTTTTCAAGGTCAAAGGCAGGCAAACTTATATTGAGTGCCTGAGTCTGAACACATCTTTTTTTCACGTTATGCTTAAATAATTTTGAACCCAACAAACTTATGTACAATTCAACCTCAGCCACAATCCGCGTTCCCTACCCTGAAACTTATTTGGTGCCACTGCTGTCTGTCAGCAGCAAAATCAAGCAACAGTCTTGAAGCCTTCAGTGCTGCTGCATCTATTGCTATTTATATGTGCGTTTGCTTGAATTTTATTGTTGCGCTCAGGTTTGGAGTTTTGCAGTCTTTGCAAAACTTGCAGTTTTGCAGTCCCTGGCTCCCATCACAAAGAAGTTCTTCACGCATGCCTTTTAGAAAAAAAGAATAAGAGATTCCAAAAAGGAAGAAATATAATATGGTATTCCACATTAAATGACATAAAAACGCTCTGTATATGCTCTGTATTATATACATATATCTCCTATCTATATGTAGGGATGCATGCGAAAAAGCAATTCGGAGCTTAGGGGCACAGATGCTGATTCTGTTTGTTCTCAGACATGGTGGTTAACTTCTGGCCTTCCTCACCAAATTCGGTAGGCAAATATCTCTCGCTCTTAAGAGCGCAATATAAGCAAGGATTCTCACTTAAAAAACAACAATGTGTTTTCCAGACAATCATCACCCAGCAGGGTTTAAAATGCTGCATCTTCCTCAGTAAACTTTGGCAGCATTTGGTTCACTCCTCCTTTCCTCCACCAAGGGTAAAATGCACTTCAGCCTCCTGCACTTCCCCACCAAGCAAGATGGCACGTGCAATGCCACGTGAGGCCTCAACGCGGCTCCGCTGCTCTGGGCATGGGCAGCGCTTCCTTTCCCCATAAGACATCAATTCCACAGAAAGTGCAGCAGTGCCTGTTGCATTGTAATCCTGAAATGAAGCAAAAGATGTTGTTCACACTCGGGCAGAAGAGGAAGAGCTGTGTGTGGTTTATTTATTTATTTATTTTTTAAATGCTCATCTGTCTGAACTGTGTTGTGCTCTACTGTGTGAAATCCAAACTCATGAAATTTTCTATGAGGAAAGGATCCATCATTTTCACCAAAAAAAAAAAAAGAAAAACAAACCTGTTTTTCCTTAAAAATCAACACTAGGAAATCCCAGAGAGCGTTGCACACAGATGTCTGCAGAAGGGTTATTGCTGCCAAGTTTTTTTCAATGTGTCAAATGATTTTTGTATAATTCATAAATGATAACAAAGCAATCAGGCCACATTCATAAAAGCCCAGTGACACATAATTTAGCTGAATCTGAGGATTAGAATTAATTGTCTCTCTTTGTTCCAAGTTCTAAATCTTAGTAAATGATTCACTGCATGTCATTACAGCTTAATATTTGCATGAAATCACAGTTTAACTGGCATAATTTAACAGCAATTAAAAAGCTATTTAATCGTCATGCAAATTGGCATGAGGGGCCTTGAGTATGAAGGGTGTCTCAGATTTTTTTTTTCAGTATTTGCAGGCGGACAGTTATATTCTTTCAGACAGCCCTAGCATAATTGATAATATTCTACCTACTCACTCAAATCTGAATGTTTAATAATTCAGGTTTCCTTTTATAATTGACAATTAAGTCTCAAATAATAAATTTATCACCCTTTAGTCTCTAGTACAAACCAAAAAGGGGAAAAAAAAAAGATTGTTTGTATGCCATATTGGTGGTTCTATTGATGCCATCCATATAGAATAGTAAAGCCTTGGTATAAAATTAAAATAGACAACGCTAGGCACAGAAGCAGCTCTTTATCGCCTGTGTCCAGAATAATTCCTATACTGTGGTCTGACAACGGTGATTAAGGTGACATATAAAAGCTGAGCTAGGATGACCCATTGTCATAGTATCTATAGCTTAGTTAGGATTAAATTTAAGCCAGTTTTAAAACATTGGCTTCAATCCTACAAGCAGTTACACACATGCTTAGTTTTAAGTGCATAAGTATTACCAATTATTTCAAGGGGATTACTGATTCCCTTAAAGTTATTCACATATGTAAGTGTGATTACGTCTCATCCTCCATATCCCTAAAACTTCTCATTGGTTTTAGCAGTGGGGGGGAATTTGTGGGAATTTGGGAATTTGTCTTAACTAGTCATTATTTAATTCTCACAGCATGTTTTTAAGGGAAACATAATTATTCCTCTTCTCTGCACATAAATATTGAGAACTGAAGCTGAAGTGTTAGTATTAGCTTATTCCCATCTAAAGATGCTAAGGGATTTCAGGGTAGGTGGAAGTCCAAATTCTCCATAATTTTAAGGGAAATTGAGGAAATAGTAATACTGTCCTGGCTGTGCATAAATGAACTGAGAGACTCGAGAGTGCTTGGTGCTTCTGGACCACATCAACATCCTCAAGGCAGTACCGTGCATCTGTTTGCCATTGGAAAACTATATATTATTGTAATTAGTCTTTGTTAACAAATGACATTTATAATACTTCTAGATTAAAGAATTTCAAATGTGTCAACATTTTCACAACGTCTGGGTGAAAGGCCAGGAAAGAAGTATCCAGAAAGATTCTGTGTATCTGTAAAACCTGCAAAATACAAAAATAAATATCTTCTGCCTGGTCCAGAAATGTTGCTCGTTAGTGCAAATGAGCCACGATACTTTTCGTCTAAATGATTCCTTGATACTTTAGCTAGTGAATCGTTCTAACAAAACCACAGTCTCAGTTGTTTAAAGTTACAAGCAGATACCTGAAAGAAACAAATAACTCAGATGTTCCACTACATCTTACAGAAAAACTTAACATTTACCTAGTTCACATTAACACCCATGGCTCCGTATACAATTTTTTTTTGCTTTGCAAGCCTTCTGGCTTTTATGCCCACATTTTTAAGTGGCCGTGTAAGTGAACACCATGAAGTGATAGCTATTTTAGGCCTTTGCCACAGTGTAATTTCTCAGTAAATTAAAACATATGTTAAATATTTTCTGTTAAGTTATGTTCTGTTTCAGCATTCAGGATCATCTTTAACATATAAGAACATGAATAAACAGAATTATTTCAGCTGTAAGTGTGCATTTCAAAGTTACTCACAGGCATGATTTTTTTTTCTTTTTTTGGGTTCTGTCAAATAGATTAAAATTTAAAAGTCCAGTCAGAGCACCAGAGCTGTAGTTGTTGCATATTGTAAGAGAAAAAAAAATGGAATTGAATGAATAGTAAAAAATGGTTATAACACTGTCTTTATTTGCTGAGATGTGAGATCCTGATTTATGTATCAAGTGTCAGGACAAGCTCTGATACAGTAATCATGCAGTTCTCCTTCCTGAAGTAAAGGTCAGATTTATCTGACAGTCCTTTGGGCACAAGGTCTTGGCCTCACGCTACTAATTGTTGAACTGGAATTTGCAAAGATATTTTCAGAGGGTTTTATGTTTAGTTCTTCAGTGATTATAGTTTTTATTAAGGACAGTATGATATTTGACTTATCTGACTCTCAGAATGGACTTGGTGTGCCAGTCAATCTCTTCGATGAAATATATTCTATTAACAATTATCTGAAGTGATTTGCAAATGACTCAGATGATAGTTTTTCAGTCTGCCTTGGACTCCCAAAGGCAATAAAGTGTTCTCTCAGAGTCTCAAAGTTTAAACAGTATCTCAATCAAAACTTCATAGTTAAAACCTGATGGCAGGTTGTATAAATCATGAACACCTGCAAGGCAAGATTGAACTTTTCAAAGCTCTGATAACCTTTCCCTAAACAATCCAAGTGCACTGTGATTTTTATGCTGAGCACTGGGAATATAATGCTCAGTCAATTCTAGAGAAAAAAACAACAGTGATTACTAGTTAAAATTTACTGTAGTCATCCTATATACTTAAAGCTTTGTAGTGTAAGGCCTGGCATTTTGCCAGATCCCCATATATTAGAAGTTTTCTGTGAGTGTTTTTTTGTTCCATATACAAATTATGTTTGAAAACCTTGTGTCTGTAAGTGCTTGGCTAAATAAAATAAGTTTAAAAGCAGTATAGCAGTATAGGACGGGAACTGGAGATAGATCCTACACACGTCCTTTAACAATTCCTGCCTTTCCTTCGTCCCTTAATTCTCATCAGAAAGTTCTTCCATCAGACTATGGAAACTCGGGTAAGTTACATGTGAACCTATGCACCCAGTCAGTATAATGGCTTAAGGCTTGTTGGACATGCCCTGCCTAATGTAAGCCCATACGAAGTGTGTCACCGCGGTTCATCCAAAAGCATGTGCCGAGTTTTGCCACCTCTTTCCTTGCTAAGAGCCTTTCTCTCCCGTTTGCTTCTACTGCCTTTGCATTCCTCCACATGGTCTTCAAGAATGGTTTTTCTTGAGCAGCCTTCATGTTGAATTTCCTTGAATGCCCCCATCCTCTTGTATCTGTAGCTTGCAAGGGTGATGTCTTTACTCTTACACTAATGCTCTTGTGAGGGGCCGTGTGGGAAGGAAATATTGGTAGACTGTGTCTTGTGCCTAATGCTCTTAACCTGTTGCCAGCTCTCTGTTACTGAGAAGACACAAAGAAATCCCAGCGCAACCCAGCAGAGAAAGATTGCAGAATAAATGCCAACAATTTTGCTTTTTACACTTATTCTAAAGCTGTTATCTTTTTACTGGCTTATTCAGGTTGATTCTTATAAAACATTAAAGATTACAAATATCAGCAGAGCCTCTGTCACTAGACATTAAAGGAGGAAATAAATTTTGTGATTAAAAGTATCCCCAGTATCCCACAAGATTAGTGGGTATTTAATGCAATTTTTGGGGTTATGATGTCTAGCTTCGACTTTCCCAAATATTTTTTTATGTTGTCTTACATTATTCCAGAGCTCTTTCTACTTTATTCAGCTTTGTGTGATCTCTGCTCTTTATTCTTTCTGCATTTTTTTTCAAGGATTTTAATTTAGGTTATTTAGGTAATTCTGGACTTTGAATTTGTTACTGAACCATGACTCTTAGTTTCTGTTTGCAAATAATTGCCTTTTTGCATGTTTTGTGGTATACAGACAACTGCAGCTTAAGAGACTTTACCCTCCTTTTCTGCAGGGCCACCCTCTGCTCCGAGAAATGTAATTTTTAACATTAATGAAACAGCTCTTATGTTGGAATGGAGCCCGCCGAGTGATACCGGAGGAAGAAAAGATCTCACGTACAGTGTAATCTGCAAAAAATGCGGGTCGGACACCAGCCAGTGTGAGATATGTGGAGGAGGTATCCGATTCATCCCCCGGCACACCGGTCTGATCAACTCCTCCGTGACGGTGCTTGACTTTGTGTCGCACGTGAACTACACCTTCGAAATAGAAGCCACCAACGGCGTCTCCGAGCTGAGTTTCTCGCCCAAGCAGTTCACGGCCATCACAGTTACCACTGACCAAGATGGTAAGTTCTGGTACTGCCCGTCTCTTCCTGGGCCCCTATCGCTTGTCTGTATGTTAGGTATGTATGTCATTTATTTGTTGGAAGCCTGCTCAGGGTTTTAGTATGTTGTCAGCCTGCTGCAGTGCTTTTGGCGAAGACTTTCAACTTCTGCTGACAGTTGCATGACCAACCCCCCGTAGGTAGGGCACAGAAACACATCTTTGCTTGACCTTCAGTGTCTGCTCTGACTACCTGAGACTGCCTGTATCAGTGGCTCCAGTGGTTGATAAGAATTGGGGTCTACGTCCAGTCCTTTTGCAAATCTTTCCACAGGATTTCGATTTTGAAAGACTAGAACATCACACTATCTATTCATCAGTTTCACATTCCAAAGGCGAGATGAAAGTGGACCCATTTTCTTTAGTATTCTTGTTTTCTAGTCATACGTACAGCATGTTTTACTATAAGATATTTTATCATCTGTATGTGCCACTTCCTTAAGTAAGTGAGGTATCCTTGTAATTTTTCTTTTTTTTTTTTAATCTGATTTTGAGCATTTGTTTTGATTTTTCCCCCCCTTATTTCAAATTCATGTTCAGGGCAGTCCTTTATGAGAACTATGAGAAAACAAAACACCTCTGTTGCTTATTTCTGCAACTATTTTTTCCCCCATCTAAAAATATTTACTATGCCAGCAAACAGCAAAGCAATCTATAGTAGTGTTATCTTCTGGCTTGTGTTACTGTAGATCACAAGGTTATTTCAAAATTATCCCTTGCTGACATTTGTTCCAGAAATGTTTTCACCTACTGTGCAGTGACATTGCCAGTATAGCCGAACTGTTTGATGTAGAGCAGGAACTAAAATAGCAAAACTAGAGTTTTGAGTATCAGAGCTGTACTTAGAAAAAGTCTTTATGTATTTAGTAAAAGTGCTAATGTTGAGGCTCCCATTATGTTCCAGGTGTAGGAAGGCCCTAGGTTCTGTCACTGATCAGCATAGTGAAAATCTGCTTACCTGTGTAGCTGGGGCGATTAGTTTTGTTGATGAGTAAGTAATGACTTGTTTGCCTTTGGGCATGTGAAAATTAACAGCTTGCTGTGATGATGATGATAATGGCGATACTAATAATATTCATGAAAGTGGATCAGGAAAAGCACCAAAACTACTCCTTCACCCTTCCTGTGATGGTAGTAATAGAAGAGCTAATTATATAATGTGCCTAATTATTTGTGCCTTGCATTGAGAATTGTTTTAAGCTCTGTAGGCTATACATCATTTTGTGAACTTGCATCTCTCTCTCTCCCCTTCTCATTAGAGAAAAAATGGTGCCAGAAGCTACCCTTGGGTATACTTATTTTTAGGCATTTTGATACATGGCACTAAATGCAAGTCACCAGCCATGCACAGGTGGAGGTCACCAGAGAGAAGGTTTATTTTTAAACTGGCTAACAGCTGTCTGAACACAGCTTGTAAAGTGTAGTTAAGTGGTAGGCTTTTAAAAAATAATATGTCTTTTGCTGTTGTCTGTTCCTTGTATAAGGATATAGATTTTCACTGCAGTTCACTCGGAAGAGGGGAAAAGACCAATCGTTTCGTAATTTGTGACACACTGACAGCAAACTCTAGTTCCCTGTAATAATTCTTACATGACTAAAAATGCCGTTGGAAGGGTTTCGGAGAATTTAAGGCCAGGTTTCCAGAATATCAGTTAGTTTATTTGGATATAAGAAGACAGCTTTGCAGGAGGAAGAATTGTAATAAATGACATGGAGGCACCTATAAAATGTAGTTATAGAGATAAAACTATTTTTGTAGAAACTGCATATAGTTGTATAAAATCATAAAAGTGTTAGCTATATATTTAAAAGACAAAGAGGGAAAGATAAAGTCATAGGAAATATGTTTTGGAAGAAAACAGTGGAGTTGGGTTGATGGAGATTATCGAGGCAACAATAAATATTTTTTTGTGAACTTCTCTTAGTCGTGAATAAAAAGTGACAGCGTGTAGTCATCTAGGGAATCTGACCTGAGACCAGGAAGCCCAAGAACTAAAGCTTGAGAACATTGCAGAGACTTGATTAATGGCCGTAAACCACGCTGAAGTTCCCAGATAACGCAGATAAAAGGGTTAGTGAGCATTTTATTTCCATTGTTAGGCAACTATTAGCTAACCTGGTAGTTTAACTTCTTCCATAGTTCAGCTTTTGCCTTTATGTTGTAAATGTTTCTAGCTGTACCACCAAAGAATAAGCTGTGCCCGTATTTCTTTATAATCTTACTTATTGTGAAGCAGGCAGCACTTACTGCATATTGTTGCAGCATCGTGCCCATGATCATATAAACCAAAGATACAGGATTAGAGTGTAAGTACAAAGTGACAACAAATCGAAGCCTTAATTTGCATTAGTAGAAGAAATCTTAAGATACCATTGGTTAAAACTATTTTCCCTTTGTATATTTAATATAATGGTAAATAATAAATTGCATAATAAATTATAGTTACACAATACTTTTATCCCATATTCATATAATCTTTTTATATGTAATCTTCTCAGGCATAATGTTTTAATACTTTTTACATCATATACATTGCACTGAAGTGGTAGACCTCTTCATAAATATATAAATTACTTTCTTCAATTCTTATTGTTAAGAACATGAAACAATATCTTTACCTGCTGTAAATCAAGACCATTCTGTGAGCTACAATAATTTACAGGAACTAAGGAGACAGCATTTAATTTTCTCCTAAGAATATTGGATTTACTTTCCTCTAATTGTCCTTTCTTTCTGTGATTTATTTAGAACTAGCAGATTCTTCTTTAAGATTCTTCTTCTAATCAGCTTAAAAGAAAGTAGTATTTTGGGGGGCTTTGCACATTATCCGTCCTGCAAAACATTTTGTAATCTGATGACTGAAGTGTTACATGATCTGGACCAATGCTGAAAAAAAGACTTAAGAATGCTTATTTGGGTAATAATATAAAACCCATCTGTTGTATTGTTGACTTCTTTAGTTTTTAGTTCCTTACAAATATTCAAGAATGCGATATTCCTGTGCTTTTCCCCCTCTGGCTTTCATTAGCAAAGAAGGTTCCTTGGGCACATCATTTGCCAGGCACTATAAGGAACCCATTAGATAACAGGAGTTTTCTAAGGGAAGGTGAGACTTCAGAGATACCAAGTTCTCCCAACGGATACAGGTAATTCCTGCATGAGCAGGGCACGAGCTGGGTCTCGCCTGGGGGTAGGGTAGGAAGGTGTTAACACGCTTAGATGTTGCAGATGGAGAGAAGAGGTGAGTAAAGGAGATGCTGCTTCTGTATGGCTTTGTTTCAAAATGTTTTGAGGTATCCAAGTAATCCATACTTTAAATTTAGATAAATGGACAGATAAACAGAACAAGATTTGTCTCAGAAAAAGCACTTAAGCAAAGTTTCTCCCCATTCAAGGAAGCACATGGGGACGCGTTAAGTGCTTTCCCAAATCATTGCCAAAGTAATATGTGAGGACCTGAAAGTAAAATATGTTTTCAAAAAAGGCTCATCAAAAATGTTTAACAACACTGTTACTGAGAAAAGTGCCTGGATGCCTTTTCTTTGTCAGATAAGAAGGTTTTATGCAGCAGTAAATATGGTAGGTATGAAGTAACTGGATGCCTTTTCTTTGTCAGATAAGAGTACAAGAGTACAGATAAAAATCTTTGTACTCAGTTGACTTTATTATATAAAAAGGCAGAAAATAACATGCTGAATTGTAATTTACGTTTTCTCTTACGACTAATGGCAGAAGGAGACACCTCACTATATAGCCTTCTTGCCATGCCTTAGAGTCCACAATGCCTAAAGGAAATCAGAAGTACTTGAGCGTTTTCGCATGCATAATTTAAATAGTAAATAATGAATAATTAAGCAAAACAGAGCTTAAAACAATAGTTCCTGTTTCCAAATGGTAATTCACACATGCGTTCCCTCAGCGGGCACTCATACTTTCTATTACCTGAGTTCAGAGGGGTTTTTCTTAAGCTTTGTGCCGTGTGGAGGGAGAGCAGAGCCATGGGAGACGGCCTGAGAGACGGTCACGTTGTGACCAGCTCCGTTTCACTTCACCATTTCAACTGCTTGCTTGAGAAACCGTTCTCTGTTGCTAGAGTTTCCCTCCCAGGCTGGCATCTTAAGTATTTGGAGGCTGCCCTGCATCCCCTTGACTCACTTTTCGGCAGTGACCTCCGCAGAAATCAGAGCCCAGCGCTGGGATGCTGAGCAGGCATCAGTCTGTGCACGGGTTCCATCTGCATGTCTTTCCCTCCTTGATGGAAAGTTGACAGTAGAGAAAAAATCCTTTCGCCCTTGCATCCCAGCATCTCCTGTTATCCCTGTTTGTTCCTGGAGATCATGAGTGATGCCATGTCCTCAAAGGTTGCTATGGTGCACGAGTTGTTCTGCCTGGGCACGAACCTTGTCACGGCGTTAAAGACCCGTCTGGTTCTGCTGTGTCCGACAGGGGAGGCAGCCTCTGACTAGCTGGGGCAGCCTGATGGACTCTGCCTGTAAGAACCCTGAATCTGCATTTTTCCTTTAATATATTTTATTTTATATGAGCCATTTGCAGATTTTTCTTAAGTGTCTCTTTACCTGATGGTAAAATCATTCAAGGGTCTGCAGGAGATGGCCTCTCATCTGACTCCTCATTCCAAATGAGTTATAGCAAATTTTCTTCTCCTACTTCAAATGTGTTTGTAGCCAAATGTGGATAGCCTGTAGCCACAACAACCTCTGCTCACTCTTTTAAAATCATGGGATTGAGGAAAATGTGGAAGAATTTCAGTTTCACCTCCAGGAGTAAACATGTTTCGTCATGTTGTGCAATAGCAATGCAATGGTGTAAGGTGTTGAGGCGCTCAGCCCACTGACAGGAAGGAGCTTCAGGGCCCGTGACTCCTGCCAGGACAGTTTATCATCAGGATTAATTCCTCTGGCTGATGATAGCGTACATTCAGGATGTGCTCCTTGTTTAAG